GGAAGATAGCTCCAGGATGGGAATGGATATCTAATGCTAGAACAGGACAAAAAGGAAGAATATGGGTAGTATGAGTTCCTAGAATATACATCTTTGTTCCTAAGGAAATTGATAAACAATTTATCCATGGGCAGATTAGTATGAAGTCAAAGCCAGTTAATTTTGGTTTCACAGCAGTATATGAGCTACACACCATCAAAGACAGGAAGCCTTTGTTGGCTAAACTAAGGCAGATAAATAGCATCCAACAGGGTCCCTGGTTGGCAATGGGAGATTTTAATGCAGTACTTCATGTAATAGATAGACAACATGGATCAGAAATTCAGGACATGGAAGTGAAAGATTTTAAGGAATACATGATGGATACAGGCATGAATGAATTACAATCAGTGGGAAGGGATTATACATGGACCACTAATCATACATATAGTAGGATAGATAGGGAGTTGGTGAACACTGAGTGGATGATGACTATGCCTAACTTGAAAATTCAGGTATTAGAGCCACTAATATCTGACCATTCTCCTTTGAAGCTGATGATCACACAGGGGCATACAAAGAAATGCAGACCATTTAGATTCTTGAATTGCATTGCTGACCATCCTCAATTTATCCAACTAGTTGAAAAAGCTTGGAAGGAGGGAAAGGACACTGAAAAAATGCAAATAGTTTGGCATAAGCTCAAAAGAACTAAGGAGCTTGTCAAGGAACTAAATACACAGCATTACAAAGGGTTGGATGGAAAAATTAAAGAGGCAAGGAAAGAGTTGCAAACAATACAGGAAGACATGGGCAATAGAAGGCAAGACACTGTGCTGAGAAAGAGAAGAAACTGAAGCAGGATTTAGAGAAATGGGTGAACATTGAGGAAAGTGTCTACAAACAAAAATCAAGGGTGCAATGGCTGAAACTGGGAGACTCCAATTCAGGATACTTCTTTGCACAGATGAAGCATAGAAACAGTACAAATGGAATTCAAATGCTATCAGATGATATGGGAAAGCAATTGGTTCTAGATGATGAAATAGAAGGAGAAGTACTGGGCTACTACAAGAACCTACTAGGTACAAAATATGACTCCATTCCAGCTATAAATCCCAACATAATCAAAATGGGAACTACATTGAGTAGAGAACAACAACTGCACCTGATCAGACAAGTCACTAAGGAAGAAATAGGAGAGGCATTGAAAGAGATTAATGATCTGAAGGCTCCAGGATATGATGGTTTCAATGCAGTGTTCTTTAAGAAAGCATGGGACTGTATAGGTGAAGAGGTGACACTGGCAGTGGAGGATTTCTTTGAGACTGCACAAATGTATAAACTAGTGAATTGCACAGCTATAACTTTGATACCTAAAGTCAAGAACCCAACAAGTATAAAAGAATTCAGGCCCATCTCATGTTGCACAGTGATTTACAAGGTAATTTCCAAGGTTCTCACTAGAAGACTTCAGTGTGTTATGGACGTTTTGTTTGACATTTCTCAAGCAGCATTTGTGCCAGGAAGAGCTATAACTGATAACATCATATTGAGCCATGAGTTGGTTAATGGATATGGGAGGAAAGGTGTATCTCCAAGGTGTATGATGAAACTTGACATGTAGAAAGCATATGATTCAATAGAGTGGGACTTTATGGAGCAAATGATGCATGCATTAGCTTTCCCAGCACAGTTTGTTAGGTGGATAATGGGGTGTATAAGGACAGTCACATACACAATACTGATTAATGGTGTTCAAACTAGACCTTTTGAAGCACAAAGAGGATTAAGACAAGGGGATCCTTTATCTCCTTACTTATTTTTACTCGCAATGGAATACTTGACAAGGAGGCTGAAAATGCTCAACAAAGATCCAGATTTTAACTACCACCCCAAGTGTGCAAAGATGCAAATCTTGCAACTTGGGTTTGCTGATGATCTTTTACTGTTTTGCAGGGGAGACTTGAAGTCAGTCCAACTTATATTCAGTGGCTTTCAAGAGTTCTCAAAAGCATCAGGACTGAAAATTAACAAGAACAAAAGCTCTTTATTTTGTGGAGGAATCACACAAGAAAATCAAGAAGAGATGCTAAGCTTCCTGGGGATACAGAAGGGAGAACTACCTGTGAGATACCTTGGAGTTCCACTAAGCACAAAGAGAATATCAATTGCACAATGCCAACCCTTGATTGAGAAGATTGTAGGAAGAATAACATCTTGGACTACCAGATTCCTGTCCTATGCAGGAAGAATACAGCTTATAAAAAGTGTACTATTTGCAGTGCAAACATACTGGGCACAAATCTTTGTGATGCCCAAGAAGATTACAAAGCTAATAGAGTCCATTTGCAGGATCTTTCTATGGACAGGTGAGAGTAATGTCTCAAAGAAAGCACTTTTAGCATGGGAGAAGATATGCATGCCCAGGACAGCAGGAGGTATCAACATCATGCATATAGCATTATGGAATAAGGCAGCAATATGCAAGCATTACTGGGACTTATGCAGAGAGAAGAATAAGTTGTGGATTCAGTGGATCCATAGCTACTATGTCAAAGGTAGAGAAGTATGGGGTCTACAGGTGAAACAAGCATCTTGGATCGTGGGGAAGATACTAAAGGCAAAGGACACTCTTGACAAAGCAAGCTTCAACTATGAAGATGTAAAGAGAACCAAGAATAGCAGTATCAAAGCAATATACCACAGGCTGCGAGGAAATTTTGGAAAGGTGAGCTGGAAAAAAGTTGTGTGCTAGAATGTAGGGTGCCCACGATGGTCTTTCATGTTAATATTGACGGCTCATGGCAAGTTATACACGAAGGATAGACTACAGAAATGGGGAATACAAGTAGAGGAAGAATGTGTGCTGTGCAAAACAGGAAGAGAAAGTATCCAACACTTGTTTTTTTGAGTGTGAATATTCAAGAGCATTATGGAGCAGATTGTTAAGCTGGCAAGGTATTAATAGGAGAGCACAGGGATGGGACCAAGAACTAATATCGGCAACACATTTCACCAAGCGAAGGAACCCAAGAACAGAACTGTTCAAGATGATCTTAGCTGCAGCTGTGTATTATGTATGGCAAGAACGAAATGTAAGAATTTTCCAAGCAAGAGAAAGGAGATGGGAAGTGCTATGCAAACAGATTGTGCAAGAAGTCCATTGTAGAAACAACAAATACTTAGGAACTTTGTTGAATAGCCTGAATTGGTACCCTTGTAATGGATAAATATTCTTATGAAAAGGAGGGAGTGGATAATAGAAGTGTAGGATGGAATGTATGGGTTTTGTATTACTTGTAAATATTTTCCCTGGTAAATAGAAAGTTTAATTACCAAAAAAAAAAAATAGTGACAAAATTAACATTAAGAAGAAGAAAATTTTGAATAATAACATTTCCGGCGAAATTTTATTTTTTTCCGGCAAAGTTTCGTTTTTCTCAACATTAACGAAATTAAACTTTGTGACTTGAATCTAAAGAAAAATCAGATTTACATCTCATAAAAGGGCGAGGCTTTGTTTTCCCAGTAAATTTTTGTGAATCTAAAGAAGGAGAAAATCAGATTTGGATCTTTCAGAAAAAAAATTCGGCCAAAGCTCCAATGTGAAGAAAAAGGAGAAAACGAAGAAAGAAAGGACCAATTTTTTGGAGAAGAGTTGGAAAAGAATGGCTGAAAATTAATTTTGCAGGCAAGGAATGGTCATTGGGGAAGATGACGATGGGTGGGTGGACTTCTCATTTTTATGTTTAATTAATTATTTCTAATTTTTTTATATTTATTTAAGTTAAATTCATGTGTCCTTGTCTTATTCGTCAGTCTAGTGTGTGAATTTCACGTACCTTTGGTGATTGGCTGCCTATAAATTTGGTGTTTAAATGACACATTCGAGGTGTGGTTGGAATATTTAAATGGAACGGACTTAAAATGGAGTGTCAAAGTAAAAAGTGAGACAACTTTAAGGAGTTGTCGATGTATTCTGCCTTCATTTTTCATATCATGTCATGTAAACCGAGTCTAGTTTTGTGAATCCAGATTCCATATTAACAATCTTAAATGAAATCATAAGTGTGTTCCATGATTAATTACCATTAAAAAAACTTTTAAAACAGTGTCTTTTAAGGCGGAGAGAACGTATTGCTTAATAGAGGCAACATACATAAGCTTCAAGATGGGACGTAAGCACATTAATTTTTAAAAAAATTTAATTAATAAATTAATAAAGTAGAATATGAAAAATACATCAAATTTCAAAAAAAAAAAAAAAATTAAAGCCATAGAAAAACAGCTAATAGAAAACAATATGTCTAGTACACTTGTACAAGCATAAATAATGCAAAAATTCCCGACAAACAAATCAATTGGAATGTCTTAACCTTCTAACAATTAAAAATCATAATTTTAAAAAAAAAAAAAAAAACATTATCAAATTACACATTTTCCCTCCGTAAAGTAAAAAATTACTCTATTAGTCCCAATTTAAATGTCATACTTTTCTTTTTAGTCTATCCCAAGAAGAATGTCAAATTTCCTTATTTATAAATACTTTAACTGTAAAATTTCTACTTTACCCATAATAAAATAATTTACAGTCACATTAATATTTATGAATTATTTTAGACCACAAGTTTTAAAGTCTTCCTTTCTTTCTTAACCTTTGTACCTAGTCAAACATCACCATATAAATTGAGATGGAGTGAATAATAAACTTTATCAATATTATAATTTAAAACGTTACCCTTTCATATATAAATGAAACTAGATAGCCGGTGCCCGTGCACAATGTACCTAGTCAAACATCACCATATAAATTGAGATGGAGTGAATAATAAACTTTATCAATATTATAATTTAAAACGTTACCCTTTCATATATAAATGAAACTAGATAGCCGGTGCCCGTGCACGCACGGGCGTAAGTTATACACTGCTATACCACGGATCCGCAATATTCTTGTACCAAAAACGTTTGACACTGAAAACTTGTTTCAATTGTTTAGCAAGATAGGAAAAAGGAAAGAACACTATCAAGGTAATTAGATACTAACATAATAATGCTGCATGCTATGTACATTTATTTGAGGACCAAAGTTGTACAAGATATAAAATATACATTGCAACAGTACATTCTTCTGCCTACTTCCATGAGAAAGACAAAATAGCATGCATTTCTTGTAAAAGTCGATCACCCCATAAATCTTTGTTGCTGTAATTTTTCTTTTCGCAGTAGTACTGCAGCAAGATTCAACAAAGTATCAGAACCTGCTTACGCGTACAATTCCTAAATTTCAGATTCCCTTAGAAGAAGAAGAGGAAACAGATGTTAAACCAGTATGAGGACCAACTCATTATGTTTCAACTTTCAAATGAAGAAAAAGTATACTACAAAACCTGATTGTTAACGACGTAGGGAGAGACATGAGCATACTTTTAGTTTTCGATTTGCCAAATGTTGAATACACATCAATTATTAGAATCCATTTACTTTAAGAAGATAGATTCTTGTGATTCAATTTTGAATGAACTGTAATCCAGATGCAGAAATTCCAGAAAAATCCACCCAAAAGAAGTGCCGAAACAGTTAAGTGCAGAAGGCATGAATGAAAATGTGTAGAATGCAGAAAGATAATGCAAAAACTGAAAAGTGTGCAGAATATAGGAAAATCTTCAATATGCAGAAAAAGATGGTGCATACAGTGGAAAAATAAGTACAAAATTATGCAAAAAATATGGAACAAAAATTGAAAATTAGTGCAGAATACACGAAAATAAAATACAAAAAACCAAGAGAAAAAAGAGCAACGTCAGAATTTTTGCTGGAAACTAAAATTGATTGAGGTTAATAGTACGGAAAAAGTTATGCTCTAGAATGAGTGTCTGCTGGATTTTGCTTTAGTAGATACTTTTTAGGCTCCTCTTTCCCCAACTGATATTTGCCATGAAGTTAAAATCCTATGCTAGAATTTCATTCAGGCAAACCCACCTAAAGTTCTATAAGACTTTCTTTATTAGAAAAAGCCTACACAAAGTTCTTTCCTAATATTTAGATAATAGGTTCTTGTTCTTTTATATGAAGCCACTGCCAACCAAGGGTTCTATCAACACATAAGTTGTTTAAGTAGTCTCAACTAATATTTTCATGTGTCATGTAATATGTATCAATCAAGTAATCGTTCTATTAAGGCGTAGAAATACCAACCAACATAAAGTATCATCAAGAATATATTCCTTTGCGCCAACTTTTATCATTACTGAAGTTAATCAATCAATAATATCATGGTACTTTCCTAAGGCATGAACAACAAAGTTGCACCGGGCAAAGGTCAATCTAGCATAAGCTCTGGCAGAAATCCTTTAATCTTATTACCAGATCACCTCATTCTTCACCATCTAAATCAAAATACTGGAAAGTTAAACTATCAATTTCCTTCAACATTTTTCAAGGGAGTCATATAAAATGTGCAGATTAAATAGAACAGCTCTAGCACTTCCTTTTTAATTCTTTGAATAAGTGAATCTAATGAAACACAATGTTTGTTGGAGAGTGCATGAAATGTCGGCATCCATGTTTTACCACAACCAACCGATAACCCATTATCGTCTTTTAAGCTCTCACATTTTAGGTTTCATGTATCGACACCATTTCATAAGACACACGGAAAGCCAGTAGTAAACAAGTCTTCAAATTTTCTAAGGATTTCAAGAAAAAACAAACTAACCTTGAAAAATGCTTTAGTAGAGTTTCTACTCAAACAAGATTCGGCGAAATAGGTTACACCATCCTGCCCTTAGTGGAAACGTATTTCTTTTCCACTTGCTGATCTTCCCTTCCTAAATGCATATCCTAATGATACATATTAACACATCAAAATTTGCATCATAATCGCATATTTTCAGCTAAAACATAGGTTGTAAGCAATAATATGCAGACAATATATCATTTTTAACTGTAGAGACATCATTTTCAAGTATGTATGAACACGAAACATTAATGGATGCGAGTAGTAACTAAACCAAATGCAATTAATTTCTGAATTTTGGAGATAAATGTCATCCGTAAGATGAAGAGAGAGATTTTGATGGAGCTTCTGTAATGTCCTTGAGCACACTAATGATGATGATTTAGATTTTTAAGGATTTCACTATCTGGAGGAATGCTAGATTCATACACACTTGGGCAGGGAGAAAAGAACGAAAAATCTTATCCAATTCATGTCAGAAGCTCTTCTAAGTCACATTCAAGTCAATTCTTTTCCTCTATTGCTGGGATTTAGCTGCAAAAAAAAAAAAATTCTCAGCCCTTCATAGCTAAATTATAAGGCTAGCAATTGCTTATTCTCTTTTGGTAAGATTGTGAAAATTTAGTATTGCTTCCTAGAAATATAAAATAGCTGTAACTCAAATATGTGTACCACATAAATAAGGCAAGACTTTTATGTAAGCAAGCTGGATAAATTAGTAGCTTTAAAATGAACTCCACACAATGATCTGACAGTACAGATATCACCCAATGAACAGATTTAAGATGACAAGCAATCTTTATAAAGTTCCCTTAGACTTAGAGTAATCAAGATAAGAGATAATGCATAGATGCTAAAGCTAAACTATGCAGTTTAATATCTAGATTACACAGAGCTTATTCACTGAAACCATAAATTGACAACCTGACAACTTCTCAAACTCAAATGTTCATTCTGCAACTATAGGTTACACCAAACGATTGTAAGCTATGATCGATCATCGATGTAGAGAAGGACTCTTAGGGAATACGAAGAAAGATATCGAAAACACAAATCGCTGGTAAAAAAAATCCTGCCTCTACACAAAAATTCATTTAACTCTAGCTAATGAAATGCCTAGCTGATTGCAGCGTGATTAACACCTTCGTTTCTATTGTGCTTTCTTTCATAGTGAAAACTCTAAAACAGATGCAAGTTTCATATGTTCCAGCTTCCTTGAAAAGCCCTTGAGTTTTCTCTTGCATAGAATATTTTAGCACTTCTCAGGCCATCAATGACAGCTTCACGAACCCAAGAAACAACATAACCTCAGTTATCTTCAGAATAATCATCTGAAGCCTAACAAAATTGTCTACATGACCTCATTCTCAATGAAGACAAACAAAGATATACTTTCCTTAATGATCTTTTGGCTCGATAAAATTTTGCAAGTTGATTAAAGTTTTTTGACAACATGCTGCGCTATGACATCCCTATAATTTCACACACCATAGAGCGAATTGTTCCATCAATGAAAAAATGTGCAGCTTAGTTCCTCAGCAGTACCAGTAAATTTAGAAGAGGCACTTCTTAACACGTTAATTTCAAGCTTCAGAAGCATATGTGAACTACCATTTAGCTTGAAACTTGAACCTATACTTTCCGTTATTACAAGGTGAGCACGAGTAAAGCACTTCGTTGCTTGTTTAGTACCCATAGATTCAAGATAGAACTCATGGGTTATGGCCGCGCACGCCTTGGTGCCTTGGCCCTTGCCTACATTAAATAGCAGCTTAAGCGACGTGAAGCGCCTTCCTCGGGTTTTTTTGAGCTTCAAGGCTTAAACGTGCCTTAAATAAGCCTTTGACAACATAACCAACAATTTGTCATTACAGTAAAAGATGATTGATAAATTCCACATGTGTTAGGTTAATGGGCAACCCATTATGACTGAAGCACGCTCTCGTATCTCGTACATTTGGAGCTAATCTAACCAACAATGCAGAAGATAAGTAAGATAAAAGAAACCAAAATAATTTGATATAATATAAATGTATTACTGACCTTTAAGAGTTTTGTTCACATATCCTTTTTCTATTCCCATTGAGTTCCTTTTAGTTCCATTGATCGCTACCAAATTGACACAAAATAGTTAATGAACAAAAGCATATGTAAAATCACGTTAAAAAAGAGCCAAAGGCTCGGAAATTCTATAATTGCCTTCAATAAATTTATTTTTTCTAGTGGGGCCAGCGGTGATGGAGGATGAAGGAGAAAAGGGCAAAATGTCTAGAACAATACCTCATTGTAGACCGCTTAGATCTCCAAAGACCTCTCAAAGAACGTCCTTTAAAGTCATCTAGATAAAACCAAGAAATTTGGCACTAGATATACAAATCAAAACATTCATAAGTGGAACCAGTTAAGGAAAGATCTAAAAGCACCAGTAACTCTAGAATAAACATCAGAAATTCTGTTTACAGTTCGCAGATGCGGCAAATATAGCCTATGGAATTCGAAGAGGAAGAGGAAAAATCCCCAAATCGGGAACGCTCACCTGTTAGTCATAAATATATACAGGAGCGCTAGAGCAAAACTCAAACTAAAATTTACAATTTCAGAAACAAAAAATCAGAAGCTGGAAGCATACGATGTAAGAGATGGAAAGAGAGAGTGTGGGAAAAAAAGGATTACTGGATGGATACGAAGAGGAGTTAGAAAATACGTGTCCAAGAACAGCTCCATGTTGGTATCCAAAGGACGATTTTATCCTTGGACGACCAGAACTTTCATTTATTATATAGTAGAAGTAGAAAATATCTTTCAAGTAGAAGTAACATATGTCTGATAATTTTTAGAGACAGATAACTAAGACATAAAATATAATAACAACTAAAGATATAAGGCTTCAGTTACCGTATTTTGAAAACGAAAAATTCATATAATATAGACACTGACGGTGTTTTTAATTATAAGATATACAATACTAGGTTTATTATTTGAGTTATTCGACTTTTATAAGCCATGTGTTGTTAGTATAATGTATTTGTAAAATAATTCTGGAGAAAATAAAATAACATAAACAGAAATATAAACGAAACAAAAGTTAATCCGAGCCCACTGAATTCACAGTGTTTCCTTAAGGAATTTAATCCACTCCTAGTACCCAAGGTTATGGATTATTTCCTCCCAGGATAGAACGAATTACACACTGGTGTAGTGATACTTCAAACCCCCAATGTTTCAGCGAACACAAAGTTCGGTAGCAAATCACACTTACCGTTGTTTTCTTTGAAGTTAAAACAATGCAGAAGAAGGAGGAGAAACTCAGAAAATCGTATGGAAAATCTGAGAGAATGGACTTGTATTTATAACGAATGTTGGGTTGAAATCTGAAGAGGTGCAACTCTTCAAAATAGCTGTTTATGCAAAACGGCCATAGCATAAATGTCATAACATAAATGACTATTTACTCAACAATAAAGAGAGAAAATTGAAAAAGGGTAGTTAATTTTCTGTTACAAAAAAGAAAACGGAAAAATGGAAACGGTTGGATTTTAATATTAATATTCTTGGATTTAATATTAATATTTTGTTATTAAAACGGATATTTAATAACATTTCTGTTAATATTTACTATTAACAAACAAATTTGGTCCAAAAAATTAATTAATCAATCATTTGACCGGATCCGAAGCCGAAGCCGAGCCGAGCGAGCGACGGCGCGAGGCTTGCCTTCTTCTCAACTCTTTAAGAGCTAGAAGAAGAGCAATTGCTTATATACCTATTAAAAATCTCTTTCTCTTCCAATATGGGACAATGTCCCTTCATCAAGGAGGGAATCTCAAATGAAACTCAAATATTTCATTTTCCCTCCATTTCCCATTCACCCCTCTTTTAAGCATTAATATACTTAAAACCCCAACAATCCCCCACATGAAGGAATGGCTATATCACGAAAATATGCATGAAAAACTATGTGATTCGCGAGCAAGGATTAATTGTGTGCACGGTAAAATCCGGGGATCCAATTTCCCCGTCATTATGATGCCCCGCGACATACTTCCCAAGGCTCGAGACTGGGTCGAGGTTCACCTTCGAGGGCTGTCAATGCTCGACCTCGGAGCCATGCAGACCAACGGCTATATCGGGAAAATGGGGAGTTCACAAGGCACGCTAGGGCTGACATGGTCTAGCGGGCTACTCTGAACCCAAATCAGGGCGTCATTCAGTCGTCTCATCCCCATATCTATATAATTAATGTATTTTGTACTATGTGGGGTTCCCTCCTATATAAAGGGAGTCCTTGCCATTTTGTAGGGGATTTGTTGCTTCAGCTGCTCCACAAGAAATATAAGACAACATTCTCTCTACTCTCTTACATATTCTCTTGATATTATTGCTCCTATTTATTATCTTCATTATTGTTCATCATTTATTGCTTATCATTGGCCATAAAGAGCCTTCTTTGATTTTATTATAACTGTTAGTCATACTTCGATTACCTTCGATAGCTCACAGTCGAGCCCCGGAATCGACCTCGAGGCACCCGAATCGACAAGCTCGAGGCCCGATTGCTAACCTATCGGTTTGACCATCACCTTATCCTTTGCTCTTATTTCGTTTCTAAGTCTCACATACACAGCATCAACTACTTAACAACCGGCATAAAAATAGATCACGTATTTTTAGAGTCCCATAATCAAATTTAATTATTGTTACCATTTTCACAGTAAGCAGTTTGGCGCCCACCGTGGGGCTAAAAATAATAGTGATTATTTTCTTGCTGGTCCCATTACACAACGCAAGTTATCTTTTACACCTTTTCTTGTCCAAGATCTTCAATTTCAGGTTGAAATGCCTAGCTTAGTAAATAGAGTCAAAAACGACAATCTCGAGAACCACGGAGGGAATGGTATGGCTGTTCTGGGTGCCGGTATACCACCACAGGACTCTATGAAATGCATCGGAGCCGACCTCTAAGGATACGACCTCGCGCGACGCCCAATGCATTGACGCCGCTCCTCGGATTCACCAGAAAGTGCGCCGAAAAGTTCCGTGGGAAACTCGGCAAAATCCAACCTGGGCGAAAAAAGAGATTCCTCGGCATATCGTTCATATCATTACTGGAGGGACCGTCATTCCCCAAGGGCCCATGATCAAGCGGACAAAAATATCCACCGCAGAAGAAGGGCCGACCGGAGACCGCGTGGCCGAAGACACCCTCGCATTCAGCGAAGAGGATCTCGAGACCTTGGCAGAACCACACAACGACGCGCTGGTAATCTCATTTCTTTTAAGCAACATTCGAGTTAAATGTGTGCTCGTGGATCCAGGCAGCTCGGCAAACATAATCAGGTCAGAGGTAGTAGAATAGCTTGGGATGCTCGATCGGATCATACCCACCTCCCTGGTCCTCCACGGCTTCCACATGACCGGTGAGGTAACAAAAGGAGAAATCACCCTCCCGGTCGACACGTCCGGCACAGTTCAAAACACCGAGTTCCAAGTCATCGGTGGCGACATGAGGTACAATGCATTGTTCGGCAGGCCATGGATACAGAGCATAAGGGCAGTACCGTCAACTCTGCACCAGATGATAAAATTTCCCACAAAGGATGGCATAACAACCATATATGGAGAACAACAGGCGGCGAAAGAAATGTTCGCGGTTTACCACGAGGTGTCGACCCTCGCGCACCCAACCTCGGATGAGTCTAGGAGCATACAGACCCCCGAGGACGACGAAAAAGATTTCTTCGCTCCTCGAACTTTCGTTGCCCCCGAAGAGTCGGATGCAACGAAATCTACAATCGAAGATCTGGAGTAGACTGTTTTGATCGAACACCTCCAGATCGTAAGGTATACCTGGGAACGGGATTGACCCCCGAACTCAGGAAAGAATACATTCAATTTCTTATTAACAATATCTATTGTTTCGCTTGGTCCCACTTAGATATGATAGGAATTCCGCCGGAAATAACCTCCCACAGACTGAGTGTCGACCCCAGGTTTAAACCGATGAAGCAGAAAAGGAGACCACAGTCCGAGGTAAAACACGCATTCATCAAGGAGGAGGTAACGAAACTTCTTAAAATAGGGTCCATTAGAGAGGTAAAATACCCCGAATGGCTAGCCAACGTAGTAGTGGTACCCAAAAGGGGAAACAAGCTAAGAATGTGCGTAGATTATAAAGACTTAAATAAGGCGTGTCCAAAGGATTTGTTCCCATTGCCTAACATCAATCGTCTGATCGATGCTACGGCCGGCCACGAGACCCTCACCTTTTTCGATGCCTACTAGGGGTATAGTCAAATTCAGATGAACCCCGAGGATAGGGAGAAAAACTTCGTTCGTCACGAAATATGGTACCTACTGTTATAACGTGATGCCCTTCGGACTAAAAAAATGCAGGGGCTACGTACCAGCGTCTAGTTAATAAAATCTTCGAGCATCAAGTAGGAAAATCCATGGAAGTTTATATTGATGATATGCTAGTTAAGTCCCTGTGCGCAGAGGACCATTTGACTCATTTGCAGGAAACATTCGACGTCCTCAAAAGTTACAGCATGAAGCTCAACCCCGAGAAATGTGCCTTCGGAGTGGGTTCGGGCAAATTCCTAGGCTTCATGGTATCAAATGAGGATCGAGATTAACCCCGATAAAATCAAGCCCATCGAGGAAATCACGGTGGTAAATAATATAAAGGTCGTGCAACGACTGACAGGGCGAATAGCGGCTCTGGGCAGATTCATATCAAGGTCATCTGACAGGAGCCATCATTTCTTCTCTTTACTCAAAAGGAAAAACAACTTTGAATGGACTCCAGAATGCCAACACGCCTTAGAGGAGTTGAAACGATATCTGACTAGCCCGCCTCTGCTCCATACGCCAAAGGAGAATGAAATGCTATATCTATACTTGGCCGTATCAGAAATAGCGGTAAGCGGCGTGCTGGTTCGATGAAGACAAGGTACGCAATTTTCCTGTTTATTATGTACAGCCGGACACTAGGGGAAGCGAAACTTAGGTATCCGCAACCTTGAAAAATTGGCTCTGCTTATTAGCGTCCTCGCAAAAAAATTTGAAGCCCCTATTTTCAATGCCACCGTATTGCGTTCTCTACAACATATCCTCTCCGGAGCAATATTGCTCACTAAACCGAAGCTATCGGGCCCGATTGGCACAAATGGGCCATCGAATCTTGGGGTGTAATGATATCGAGATCAACCAGCCGAACGGCCATCATAGTCCCAAATTCTGTCGGACTTCGTGCTGATTTTTTCCCCCTCTCGTGCCCGAGGTAGAAAAGGAAACTTTTACTAAAAAATCAGGTCTGTTGCACATCTTCCGGGGTATGGACCATGTTCAACCGACGCCGAGCGCCACAAAAACACGTGAAGAGATCCGGACTCGGTATAGAGTCCTGTAAGGCACCTACGGGACGGCGTATATCAGGCAATCTATTAAAAACGCAAATTGACTAACAATGAAGCCCGAGTACGAGGCTTATGATTGCAGGTCTAGAACTGGCCAAAAGCCTTGGGAGCCGAGACCTATCGAGGGCAAATGCGATTCACTCTGGTAGTTAAACGGCAAGTGAATGGGAGCTATGAATCCGGGGACAGGATGTCAGAGGTGTTTGGATAAAATCCAAGTCACATTACGTTGTTTCAAAGAATGGACCT